TTTGTGAAAAGACGCGTTGAAATTGACCCGTCGACGCTAAAGGGCTGCCACCAATCCCTCTACATTGCATGCAGGTGGCGGCTGCCATCTTCGTTCGTGGCGATCAAGGGAATCATACTATTGATTTTCTATGTCCTTGGTGACGATCCGCGCTTCGGGATATGGCGGGTCCACCGCCTAGGCTGCGGTGTCGAGCCACTCTGGTCGGCAGTGCGAGCCGCGAGACCAGCCTCAACCACCCGCAACCATGGTAGAAACATCCCTGGCCCACCATGCTGGCTTACTAGCGTCGCTTTGAGCCGTGCGATAAATGGAAATCGCGCATCTGAGGTTATACATACCGGTATACCGGTTCATGGAGGACGTATGAAAGACGACGCGTGCGAGTTTGACTCCATTGCTTAATCCATCGAGTCGACTCTGGACGACGTGCTTACTGGGGCAGAATCGGGGTGTACTCGGCGCGGTCGTTCTTGACAAAGAGGCCGTAGACGATGAAGACGGCGCCAAGAATGAAATGGAACCACGCCGTGTACATGCCATAGTCGTTGAGCATGCGGTAGGTGTAGAAGCCGAGGAAGATGACGTAGAGACCCGACCCGATAAAGCTCTCAAGGAGGCTGAACCACTTGAGCGGCAGCTTCCAGCCGAGCGCGGCCGTCGAGAGAAGGACGAGCGCAAAGAAGAGCTGGTAGAGGCGGAGAAAGACGTTGGCGACGTCCAAGCGCGCCGGCGTCGAGAGGTACGTGTCGTCCGCGAGCGCGTAGATGGCCGCGATCGTCGAGAGGACGCCGCATACGGCGAGGAGGAATTGGTGCACCGCGTTCACAGAGATGGTCATCGTGCGCTGGCGTGGCGAATGCAGTTGTGAGCATCCCGTCCCGTCGCCGACCGAGATGTACGTTCTGGGTGCGGTCTTGTTGAAGTTGCGTGTTTTTAGTTGAAAGTCATCCAAACGTACGGTATTTTTGCAGCTACCTCCGTTGTGCCATTGTGTCTGCGCATGGGCGACGACGTAGAACTCCTAGACGTCGCTCGATAGCACGCTCGATAGAAAGCATATAGGCACTCGTATTGGGCTATGATCTTGCGATCGTGTCCCGTTGAGTAGGATCGGCGGTCGTTCCATGACCATGTGAAAATACGGTAGTTTTGAAAACCAGCGCCACGTGGGTGCTGGTTCGGCTTCTCGAGTGGCAGGCGGCAAGACAGCGAACCAGATTCGCCGCAGTCAGTTGGACTCAGTTGGGCGAAGTTGGGCGGCAAGCGTCTGCATCTGCACGGTCGATGGACGACGCACGCACAGACTCACGCACCTGCCGCGCGTGGGTGATTGTAGCTCGCCGTAGGGTCGACACACTTGGTCGACACAGTTTTTTCTCGACGGAGCTCGTGGTTGCGACGGCGCGTCGCCCTCCACCGAATACACGTTTCATTGCACGCTTACTGGTAGCTTGCACGCTTGGGGACATTGGCGCTTGCATCTCCTGTGCAGCTGATCCAACGTGCATGTTCTCTGCTACGTCGTCGGCAGATTCGCATCTGGATGTCATGACGTGGCGCCCGCTGGTCCCAGCACCGGTCGCGAATCATGCAATGTCGGCGGCTATTTCTGGCCGAGCCAAGATGGAGGCGCTGGTGGGCGCCATGGTCGCCCGCGACACTGCACGAATCACGACGGTCGAACGCACTATATGCTGCATCTCGTGCGCTTTGTCTTGCTGTGGTATTCGCATCTTCTCGCGTGGTACCACTGGTTTCTGGCGCGGGCGTGGACGTCGCTGGATGAGCTGCAAGAAGACGATGTGGACCTCGAGGCCGAGGGAACGCCACATGCTGACGCGGAGGCTACGACACTTGCGCCAGTGACGTCGACTTTGCTGTCCACGGACGAGGTCCGCAGCGACAACCAAGTCGATGACACGCCATCGGCGACGCCAGACTCGCTCGACACAGTGTTGCACATGATTGACGGCTACATCGACTGGCTCGCAGCATCGCCGCGCGAGCTCATCGAGGTCGACAACAACAGCAACAACAACCAAGCCGAAGGCGACGACGGAAAGGTCAAAGGACGAGCCGATTTGACGCCCGAAGTCGACACCGAGATTGGGATGACGACAACGACGTTAGCCAGGACAAAACCACCGGCGAACCAGACACGAAGCAAGCCGCCGACATCCAAGCTCGGTCATTTGGCCGCTGTCGCGCCAGCCAAGGGAGCGAAGCGGCCACTTAGAGCAGGCGCCGAAAGCGACGCCCGCCCGCGCTTTGTGACCGTGTCCCGCAAGCGCAGTTACTTTTCAAAGGCTTAAAGGAGGTAAACTGCATTGGCGCCCTCGAGGATTGGCTTGTCGTTCATGCGTTGATGTACGTTTACTGGATTGCCTTGCCAAGCGTGTTGGCGTGGGGTCGACGCCTGGGCCTGGACGAGCCGCATAAAATGAAGTATTTTTCAAGCTCCGTCGGTCGTAAAGCGTGCCACCCTTCTTCATCTAGGGCCCGTGAGTTGGTTGAACTTGGGTGCTGGGAGCGACACAGGTATACGAGGGAATATTTCAAGTCGTAATTTTATTCCCTAGAGAGTACTCGTCGCCGTGAGGTTGATTCTTCTTCTGGTCGTGTTGTGTCTGGTTTGGCCAAGACATGCCAGGCCGATGCTAGCGTGTATCGCTGGAGAGTTCGACTCCAGGAAGCGAGTACCCGAATGTGCGTGGATAGGGCTAGGTGCAATGTACGGATAATGTCCGGCATTGAATGTCTGGTAGCGACCCTATACGGTACCGATGGTCTCATCCGGCACAGCCTCTCTTTCTATCCACAGCGCCACCATTCTGCATCGTCTCACGTCGCAATCTGCCCTGGAGGCGTAACGTAATACAACTGCCTGCTTTCTCGAAAATCGCTCATCCCCCGCTGCGTTGTCTGCGTCGTTCCGTGAAAGCCACCACAGTCGCCGCTCTCTGGTCGTCGCCCAGCATTTGCATCAGGTTGGTCCATGTCCAGTAGCGCTGCTGCATCACTAATCGGCTTCAACTGCTACGGGTCGAGATCGCACTAGTACTATTTTGCGCCTCGGAGTGCTATGTCGGAGATTGCACTTCTGAGGGGACAATACATTGTACACAGTGCCGTACTCCGTCGATCCCGGAATCTAGAAGATATACCGGTACAGATGCTGCTGGCTGTCCCTACCGACTACGCATGCACTTGGCAACCGGTGGCTGATGGACCGGCTAACAGACGTACATGGTGTCCCTACCACAGATCGCGTTTCGGCGCATTTGATTGGCCGAGTCTAAAGCAGCACGCCACGGATTGGCTGTATCTTCTGACATATCTTTGATTTGCCTCCGAGCCCTCAGTTCCAGATTTGTAGCGTCGCATGAAGAGCCTCTTCGTGCTTGCAGCGCTGGCTGCCGCGCCGATCGCGGCGACGCCCGACCCGACCTACTGCCCCAACATCTTTTACCAGGCCGGCAACCTCATTCTGCAGAGCCCATTCCTCCTCTCGCAGGACGCCAGTGTCACCAATGCATGGTGCGTCGCGTCGCCATGCTGCAAGAGCTGACTCTTTATGTAGCCACTCGTGCATTGCCAAGCTGGCGGCGCAGCAGACGTATGCACCCTTGTGCTACGTCATCGGCATGCCCGGCTACGACCCAGCGTACTCGATTGCGCAGGACTGCCACTGCCTCTCGCTCGGGCTCACGGAGGCGTGTGCGCAAGCGTGTTTGCCCAACCCGATATGCTCGGCCAGCTCGATGCGCGCCGAGTGCACGGCGTGCGTCGCCAAGAACGCGCCGTCGACCTGCGACCGCAACGCCTGGTCGCTGCCGTGCTACGAGACGTGCCAGAACCCGAGCTGCATCACCGAGTGCAGTGCGGGGCCGCAGTGCCACCCGTCGGATGCCATCTGCGCCGCCTGCGTCTCGCAGCAGTCAGCGTCGTGCAGCACCTCTGTGGTACGAATCAACTCAAAACCACGTGGAGACACGCCTTACCGCAGCGGTTAGGCGAGCTACGGGCGTCCGTGGAGCGCCGCATGCACGGCCGGTTGCTACTCGAGCACGTGTGCCAAGCAGTGCAACCGCGTCTGCGGCGACGGCTTTCTCACGGCCGACGAGCAGTGCGACGACGGCAACACCGACCCGGGCGACGGGTGCGCACCCAACTGCCAGATCGAGCCCAACTTTGCCTGCACCGGGACAACGACGAGCACGTGCCACCTCGGGTCGTGCGGCGACGGCGTCCTTGAAGGCAAGGAGACGTGCGACGACGGCAACCATGTAAGTGGCGACGGCTGCTCGTCGGCGTGCCAGGTCGAAGTCGGTGCATCGTGCACCGGGACACCGTCGCGATGCACGGCCGTTTGCGGCGATGGCGTCCTCGCCAGCGGACTCGAGGGCTGCGACGACGGCAACCTCACGTCCGCGACGGGTGCAGTGCCAACTGTGTCGTCGAAAAGGGCTACAGCTGCGCCGCCACTACCGCGCGCAAGTCGCAGTGCACACCAGTGTGCGGGGACGGCTACGTCCTTCCCAACGTTGAGCGCTGCGACGACGGCAACACGGCGTCGTTCGACGGTTGCAGCAGCGTCTGCCAAGTGGAGCGGGGTACACTTGCTCCACGGGGTCGGCCAGCACGTCGACGTGCGCTGCCACCTGCGGCGACGGCGTCGTTGCTTTTCCTATCGAGGCATGCGACGACGGCAACCATATTTCCGGCGACGGCTGTTCGTACTCGTGCTCCGTCGAGGAGGGCTTCCAGTGCGCGGGTACTGCACCCTCGACATGTGCTCCGGTCTGCGGCGACAGTCGTCTCGAAGGCACCGAAGCGTGCGACGACGGCAACACGCTCGACGGCGACGGCTGCGATCCGTACTGTGCGATCGAGACGGGCTGGGCATGCTCGAATGTCGACGCGCCCAACTCGGTGTGCAAGCCGATTTGCGGCGACGACATGGTCACGGGGTGGGAAGAGTGCGACGGCACAACCCCAGGCTGCGTCAACTGCAAGCGCACGACGCCCGGCCCGTCCGAGTACGAAGACGACCTTGTACTGGCTACGATTACAAAACCACCTCCCAGGTGCGGCAATGCGATCCTCGAGACGGGCGAGCGCTGTGACGACGGCAACACCAAGTCTGGTGACGGCTGCACGTCGACATGCACGATCGAACCGGGCTACGTGTGCAGAGGCACCAACTGCTTTGGTGTCTGCGGCAACAGCATCAAGACGACCAGCGAAGGCTGCGACGACGGCAACACCAGATCCGGTGACGGCTGCTCCGGCACGTGCGCTGTCGAGACAGGCTACCGATGTACCGTAACCAGCGCGGGCAGGTCGTCGTGCAGTCCTCTCTGCGGCGACGGCCGCGTGCTCTCGCCCGAGACTTGCGATGACGCCAACGCCGTGGCTGGTGACGGGTGCAGCAGCACGTGCACGGTCGAAGCGGGTTTTCGGTGCAGAGCCAATGCCAACGGTGTCTCGTCGTGCACGCCTATCTGCGGCGACGGGTAGGCTTGCAACCGATCCCAGTTCATGTTTCCATCATCGATACCGTCCATTAGGATCAAAGCGGCCTCGGAAGCATGCGACGACGGCAACACCAGGGCCGGCGACGGCTGTAGCGCCACGTGTACCATCGAGCGCGGCTTTGCTTGCAGCGGCACCAAGCCCAGTTTGTGCGCGGCGGTACGCTCCAGCATCACGTTCAACGATGGTGATCGACGACTCGTCTAGGTGTGCGGTGATGGTATTGTCGCTGGGTCCGAGGCCTGCGACGTTGGCAACACGGCGGGCACGGCCGGGTGCTCGAGCACGTGTCGACTCGTGCCGGGATTCCAGTGCTCTGGTAGCCCGTCCGTGTGCTCCCGCGGCGTGTCGTGCGGTGACGGGATCGTGTCGCCTGGCGAGCAGTGCGACGACGGCAACACCAAGTCGGGCGACGGATGCAGCCACCGCTGCCGCACCGAGGCACTGTACACGTGCAACGGATCGGCGCCGTCGACGTGTGTCAAGAGCAACTGCCGTAACATCCGGCGCGACTGGGCTGCGCTCTCGGCCCAAGACAAGGCCAATTTCATGACGTGCGTCGACCGCATGTTCCAGAGCGGGTACTACCAAAAGCTCACGGGTGTCCACGTCTACAGACCCAACGACCAGTACGCACACCACACCAACGGCTTTGTGCAGTGGCACCGCAAGTGGCTGCTCATGGTGCAGAACCTTCTCCGGTCCATGGGCGGCGTCTGCGCTTGCATGGACCTTCCGTACTGGGACTGGACGCGAGACGCCGCCAACATGCAGTCGAACGGCTGCCGCAACAAGCTCGAATGCCACCGTACGAGTTCGCCACGCTTTGCACACGATATTTCATGGTGATTGTAGCTGTCTTGCGAGAGTGGGGCGGCGGCGGCTCGACCAGAGGCACGTACAAGACGGTCCCTGTGTACAACGACCCTGCGAGGGGATCGCCGTCGGGCCGTGCCACCGGCTACTGCGTTGTGAACGACATTACGAGAAACTGGCGCGCGGGCATGACCCTTGGCCGGTTCTCGACTGCATACGACCCCAACTGCCCCGTGCTCCGTCGTGGCTGGGGTGACACCGTACACTCGCTCCTTTGCTTCTTCTTGGTGCTTACAGCGATGTAGAGCGACGACAGCGGGTATTACTCGGTGCCCATGGCAACCACGTCCTTCCTGCGCCTCGCCTCGAATCTGGCGCGGGCGACGTCGTACCGGTCGTTCATTCCGATCGCGCTCGGTGACATCCACGTCTTGCCACACAACAACAACGGTGGGTTCCTCACGACGTTTATCAGCCCCGCCGACCCGGTCTTTCTCTTGCACCACGTACGGATATGGTCATGCATATATGGACATCCGGCCTGAGGATGAGGGGTAGGGCAACGTCGACCGTGTGTATGCGCTCTGGGAGGCCTGCCACGGGTGCACCCGCCCGTCACGCACGACACGGACAGTCGAGGGCACGTGCTACGTCGGCAGCAACAGCGGCGACGGCATCAACGAGGAAATGAGCTTCTTGACGTACGACGACATCGGCGGTGGCCGGTACAACATCGTCGCCTCGGACGTTGCCACCGACTTTGCCGAGTGGATGCCGCAAGGGTTCCGTACGCCCGGCGACATGATGGACACAACGTCGCTTGGCGAGTACGCGTACCGGTATGGCTCGAACGCCTTTGACAGCCAGCTCTGGACGGCGAGCGGCTGTTCGACCAAGCAGCCGTCGGCCGTGCTGCTCGCCGAGCATCCCAACTTTGTCGCGTTGAAAGCTGCTGCCGACATGAACGCGACCTCGTCGTACAACGACGCGGAGACGACCAAGTACCTCGATTGGGTCCAGAACCTCCTCGACAAAGTCCGCTCGTTCGTCACGTCGCTGCAGCAGTCGAACCTCTTTAGCCTGCCGTTCGCCCAAGGCTTGCTCGGACACCTTGCGTCGCTCGACATGTATGTGGTCGACGTAGCAGCCACGTGCGAGTGCATGCACGTCAACAAGCTTCTCCTCGGGCGGTCGGCGGCCGGTGACTACAGCGCCACGTGCCACGACGTCTCGCCGGCCTTTCAGCGGCACTGGAACAAGACGTTTCGCGAGACGCGCAGCTGCTTCCATCGGCTCCACAACGCGGACGAGGTCGACGTGCTCCAGCGCCGGTACTGCGACGTGATCCTCAACCCCAACTTTGACGCGGCGCTGCAGTCCTTCCTTGCCGATGTCACGAGTGCGCTCGCGCCGTCGCTCCTCGAGAGCCTCGCCAACTACTTGAAGTAGACGTCGTTCGATTGCGGGTGTGTCGTAACCGCATGAATGTTGTATTGATACCACCCTTGCAATACTACAACATAAACAATGGCAGTAGAGGTGGAGAGATGAAGAATCGAGGGTACAACGCTGTACTTCGACAAGCAGACTTTTATAAGAAAGCCGACTCTACCGTGTTTGCGGGGCTGGTCTCGCAGCTCGCACTGCCGACCAGAGTGGCTCGACACTGCAGCCTAGGCGGTGGACCCGCCATATCCCGAAGCGCGAATCGCCACCAAGGACATGGAAAACAATAGTATGATTCCCTTGATTGCCACGAACGAAGATGGCAGCCGCCACCTGCATGCAATGTAGAGGGATTCGGAGCAGCCCTTTTGCATCGACGGGTCAATTTTAACGCTTTCATCCCAAAAAACGCGCTTTTTCACGCGTGCTCAAGAGAAGATTAGACGTTGTCGGTCTTATCCTTCTTGGCTTTGGGGGGTCCTTTCCGCGTCGGCGTCTTGCCCTTCTTCTTCTTCGACTTGGTTGATTTCTCAACGAGACCGCCGAGCTCCTTGGCTTTTTCTCGCTGCGCCGCGAGGATCTCGGCTTGCGTTTGCGCGACTTGGATCTCTTTTTTGGTCGCAATGTCCGGCTTCTTCTTGGGCTTGGCTTGGACGACCACGATCGGCTTGCGGCGCGCCCACTCGCGCAAGCATCTACGCACGACATGGGATCGCCGACGCCGTCTTTCGCGTCTCGTACCGGATCAAGCCCCACAAACTAGAGAGCGCGTTGATACATGTCAGTAGAGCGAGGGAGCGCCTACCACGGACAGGTGGCAATCATAATGTACGTGAGACTCATGACAACCATGTCGATGGTCTTGCCAGTCAGCGCCTTGACCATGCCATAGAGGAAGACGCAGTAGAGGACGCAGAGGATGCGAACCACGATCTCGACCGCTACGATCTTATCGAGCTTCATCAGGAGTTTCAAGGCATTGGTTTCAACACTAATTTCCTTGGCTTCGTCAGGCAGCCCTGCGGACGTGCCACGTCATGGGCAAATGGCCACACAGGTGACAACTCTGCAATGTCTTTAGTGCTGACGTCGTATAGAGGAAATGGCGTGTGCGATTTCTTAGCGGTACTAGTTACATTGGTAGTCGGAGAGCGCCGAGAGGAGCGCGCTCTTTGGGGGCTTGGCCTTTGGCGTCGTCTTGGCCTTCTTCGCCGTTGCACCCAGCACGATTGGCGCCGCCGGTCGCTTCCGACTGGCGTTGAGCAGCGCCTCGTTCTCTTTTTCGCGCGGCTCGTCGTGCGCGTCTGTGGACGTCTCGGGCGTCGCAAACGAGCTGTTGGAAAACACAAAGGCCTTGGACGTCGACGACTAGAAAGTGAAATCTTAGTTGACTGCGCGACGACGGGGCTGACTGTATGTACCGTGGGAAACATCTTGCACGTGTCGGCGATGCGCGCGAAGGATGACGACGTGGACGTGAGGGAGTACGACGTGCGCTTCTTGAGCGTCGGTACAGCGGGTGGGAGCGGTCCCCGCAAGCTCTTGACCAGCTAGTATGGCACGGTGGGTGGCCGTCCGGACGCGATACCACTGTACCTCAAACGAGTCGTCCATGTCGTCGTCGAGAAGCGTCGGCAACGCTTTGGTTTTTTGCCGGTCCCCCGATGCATTCGCTTTCTGCAGCTGGGCCATGCGCTAATGTGCTGCGTGAGTCGCATCCTCGACCACCAACGTGGTAGACGTACGTGCATGCGCCGGTTGATCTTGGCTTTGGCCGAGAAGAGCTTCATTTGGCGCGCTTCCCGCTCGTCGTCGTCGGAAACAACGACGTCCGCGACCGCTGTCTCTCTGTCGTCTTCGTGTTCACTCTCGGATTCGGACGACGTAATGTAGATCTGGGGTTGGTGCAAGAAGCGGTCGCGGAGTTCTCGCTCCATGCGCTCTTCCTCGTCTTCGGCCTCGTTCTCGTTGGCCTCTTCGTCCGACTCGAGGAGCCCAAGACGCGCCGCTTCCTGCTTGCTGCCATCCGCGGCGACGAGGTCGTTGAGGTGGAACCGACCGCGCGCTTCGCCATTGCTAAGACCCGTCGAGAAGATGCGGCGGTTGCGCCCAAAGCCTTCGCGCACGTTCCGCATGACCTCGGAGATCTGGTCGCGGTCGCGGGCCGCCATGTCGTCGCGGAACGCCTCGTCCGCATCCTTGTCCTTCTCGTCGTCCGAGAGCTCGTCGACGATGTGCTCGAGGTCGTCTTCGCGCAAGGTCAGCGCCTTGGCTTCCTCCTCGCGCTCCTTGTCAGCCTCGGTGGACGCGACGGGGACGCCAAAGCCAAAGTCGCCGAGCCCGCCAATCTGGAGCACGTCGTCTTCCGCTTCCTCTTCGGCCTCCGACTCGACAAGCCCCGACGTCTTTTGCCCGAGCCGCTTGCGCTGCTTGGTGTTGGCGTCTTCGGCCGCCAGCATCGCGCGGAACTGCGCCGCCTTGTCCTTGGCGCGCTGGGCAGCGGCGTCGGAGTCACTTTCGTCATCGGCGTCAGCTCCGTCCTCGTCGTCGCTCAAGGCGGTAATACGACGCTTCGTCCGGCCCTTGGCCTGGACAACGGTCGTCTCGTCCTCGTCCTCGGCGTCATCGGCGTCATTGCCCTTGACGCTTGTATCCAGCAAAGGCGTGACATCGTCGTGGATGGCATCGGGCGCTTCCGGCGACGCGCTGCCGTGCCGAGGGTTCTTGTCAGCGGGTGGCGCGTCGGTCGGCCGAGCGGCGCTGTCGTCGTCCAGAGTCGGCTCCAAGCCATTGTCCATTGCGTCAACGTCAACGTATTCCTCTGCGTTCGACGCGGCTTGGTTCTCGGGCTCACCGTCGACGTAGTCGCTGTCGTCGTCGTCGTCGTCTGGATCGCGCGTCGAGGCCAGTGTCACCGCGTCGTCTTGCTGCTTCTTGAGCGCGTTGAACTGAATGCGAGCTTCCTCTTCTTTCTTGAGGTGCTGCTGCTGCTCGTGGTGGTTCTTGTAGCCAAAGAGCTTGGCCATGCTGTCGGCGCCTTGCGCGAGCGCCGTCTTCTTGATCTGACCAAGCATGCGCTTCTTGCCGTGGAGGAGCGGGTGCGCCATGGCGCGCGCCACCGGTATTTGCATCGCGTGCTTCTCCTTCGAGGGCGACAGCATGGCGGGGCGTGCTGCCGGCGCCGGGCGCGTCTTGGCTCGCAGCTTCTGCAGCAGCTCGTCCTTCTTGGAGCGGACCTCGTCCTGCTGCTTGGCGTCGGTCTGGCGGAGGCTCATGAGCAGGTCCTGCGTCTCGGCCGCGATAGCCATGGCCTCGACCTCGGGCGACGGGGAACCCCGCGGTCGCCGTCGTTGTCGTCGTCGAGGTCGTCATTGTCCAAAACCAGCTTTGGGTCGCATCTCCATACCGGTGCTCCAACATGGACGCGTGTGTTTTAAACACTCAGCCCAAAACATCACCCGAATGTTTGGCGCACCTCCAGTTCTTAGTCGATGGACTACATGTGCAGCGCGGAAGAGCGGCCAAGGTCCATGCTCTTCAAGACGGCACGCATGTACGTCATCTATCGTGACTACTTCATTGCGTCTCGAAAGCGACGCGGTAGCTCCACACGCGAAACACGTGGAATAGTGACAGAATCATGAGGCGGAGACGTCCTGCGAGCGCGAGAGCCGCGTCTGCAGCCGCCATGTTGTTGTCGTCGGGCCTCGTGACATGAATCTTGTAGTTTATGGCACCAAGGACAAAGCTGCTAGCGTTCCGTGAAGTGCCACTGCGCCACCTGTCGCTTGGTGCAACGAGAGCACTGCATATAGCGGTCCATATACGTCTGTCCTCCAAAGTCCATGCCCTTGCAATCTTGACGATTGAGCGGTGATATGTGGGAACGCTAGTACCCTGCCTGCGCCACCGCCTCCTGGTCTTGCCGCGTGCGGCGCTGCGTTAATAACACCCCTCGTGTTTAATACAGTCGGAATCAAACACAGTGGCACCAATGGCGCCCGCCGGGAGATTACCCGCCACCGCACTGGCCAATCACATCCATCGACCGCCTAAATTATCCGGACACCACCGGATAACCTGTTCCAACCGATAGCCTCTCACTATCGATTCACAATAGAGAATGATACCGCAAACCTCTATCAATGAATACAATGACACCCTCTCAAGGGTCTCAAGGATCTCCTCGGTAGCAACGGCGACAACCTTCTGCGCTGCAGCCACTTGCCCTCGCGAAACGACTGGCGCGACGACGGCGTGGGATTGGACTTGGTCCTGGCGAGACCGTCATCGTTGTGCCAAACCCTTCGAATCGAACGCGACCCCCCACGAGGTGTCTTGTTGAGAAGGAAGAAGATCGCTGCCAAGCCAGCCATGCACGCCTGTGGAGCTCCAAGCCATGCGTCGCAACCCTCGAGACGCGTGCCTGCGGAATAGCTGCTAGAGAGAGCGAGAGAGAGAGCGAGAGAGCGAGAGCTAGCGAGAGTGAACGAGCGGAGAAGAGGGAAACGACCAGCCTAGCACCCGGATATAAATAGACGCGGAGCGATCTTCGCGTACAAGGTGGTCATTTTGCTTTTGGCTGCGATGCGAACAGTGTACCTCGTCGCCCTCTTGGCCGCGCAGGTCAGCGCTGAGGAGCCTCGCCAGTGCGGAGGCGTCGGCTTCAACGGACTCACAAAGTGCCCTCCGCAGTATGCGTGCACGTACGTCAACGCATCGCTGAGCCAGTGCACACCCGTCGCCCATCGCTACCTGCGCCGGCGCGAAGCAACCTCCGACCCTCCCACGGACGCATCCACGGACGAACCGACCGATGCACCCACGGAAGAGTCCACCGATGCCCCCACCGACGAACCGACTGATACTCCCACGGATGAGCCGACCGATGCTCTCGACGAGCCGACGGAGGCTGTCACCGATGAGCGCACCGATGAGCCGACGGAGGCTTTCGTCGACGAGCCGACCAAGGCTCCGACCGACGAGTCGGGTGATGTCCTCGTTGACGAGCCGACAGACGCCTCCACGGCTGAGCCCACGAGCGCTGCCACGGCCAAGCCGACAGACGCACCGACGAAGGCTTCCACCGACGCCCCAAAGGGTGCCACGCCCAAAGCAACCGAAGAGACCGCGTCGCTCACGACCAACGTCGGTGGTATTGTGCCGACGACTGCGCCGTCGCCCAGTGACGTCGCGATCCGGTATGGCCAATGCGGCGGCTTGAGCTTCGACGGCCCCGTGCTCTGCCCCGATGGCTTTGCGTGTCAGTTTAGTAACGAGTACTACTCACAGTGCGTCCCGATCCCAGACCTGCCCGGCGTCCGCACGTGGGGCCAATGCGGCGGTATCAACTACGACGGGCCCTCCGACTGCGAAGTCGGCAGCTACTGCTTCGAGTGGTCGGACTGGTACTCGCAGTGCCTGCCGATCTAACAGCGTTCTGCTAATTGTCGTAACACGTCTTGTCTACCTCATGTCTTGTCTACCCGCTTCTACTGGCGGCATGCTTCTTCTTCTTTCCCGTCTCGCAGACGAGCTCTCACGTCGCCAGCTCTCGACTTCAAGTCGCGAACCTCCTAGTACATATCCAACGTCCGTCGTGCATATTCACCATCAAGTCTACTGTCTACGCATCCGAGTTCAAAAGCAGGTGCAGCGCCATCGGGTCGTTGATGCGAAGGGCCTCCATGCGCATGAGGATCCACGGGTCCAGCGACACCTCGCGGGCCTTGTCGATGCGCTGGCCCAAGTGCAGCCGGCTCTCCGCTTCGTACGCATGGAGATTCGGAATGGGCACGGCAAACGCCGATGGCGCGTGGAACTGCGTGCGTGTTGGCACGGGGCGCGGCGGTGGCTCGATCTTGGACGGCACGAGCAGCTGGAGGCAGTCGGACGCACACGACAGGAGCCGCAGGTACACGTCAGTGGCCTCGTCCGCCCGCGGCCAGTCGACACGCCACCGAGGGTATTCGGCCACTTGCTGTGCGAGGCCTTCGTTGCGGCTGCGCGCGCGGGCCGCGGCGGCGTCGACCATGTGGAACATGCCGGTCAGCGCCTTGCTGTCGACGATGATGTCTTGGAGGTACGGCGCGTTGGCGTGCAAATCGCGCTTCGACAAGTCGGGCTTGACAAAGGTGCGCGCGTTGACCTTGTCGCGGAGCGTCCGGAGCTTCCTTTGGTGGTTCCCGAGCTTTCGGTCGTCGTCGGGTGTCCAGATCTTTCCGTATGACGGCGGTCGGAAGCGCCGGCCGCGGTGCAGAATCGAGAGGTCTTCGTACGTCTCTTGCAAGAGCGACGGGTAGTAGAACTGGAGCGGTCGCTTCTTCTTCCGGCCCTTGCGCTTCTTCTTGATGCACTGGCGCTTGACATGGTTGTGGCTATGGCAGAACGGGCAAAACCAGTCGCCCGAAGGGACGTCGGTCAACGGCGGCACGAGGCAATAGAGGTGGTACTCGTCGTCGCAGCAGTCGCACAAGATGATCTGCGAGAGGTTCGAGTCGCTCGAGCACAGCCGACACGCCTTGGTCTGCTGCCCGATCGGTGTCTGGAGGCAGCGCGGACACCACCACGGGTCAACGTCGTCGAGCGGGTGGTCCATCGGAAGGCAGTCGTTGTGGTACACGGCAGGACACCGCTCGCAGCACGCGAGCGTCCCGCTCTTGCCGCAGACCTCGCACTGCGTTCTATTGGCCATGCCCGGTGCGCGACGGTCCCACGGCGCGACCGGGAGGTCGTGTAGCGTGAGGCTCTCGGGGATGGCCGCTTCCGGGTGCGGCTTGCGCACGGGCGACGACGGCGCGGAAGGAGCCGACTCGGCGCCGCTGCTCACGCCGCTGTCGCTGCTGTCGCTTTCGGCAGCGTCTACGACAAGAAGGGTATCGGACATCGCATTCTCACGGGACATGGAATGGTACCCGAGGCAAACTCGAGCCGGCGTTTCCGCAAGGAGGACGACACGGAGGAGTGGGAGTTGTCCAATGCCACGTAGGCGCCGTCGCCGATACGGTGGAGACGGACAATGAGCGGGTCGCGTGCCGGCGCAGTAATTGGCAGCGTTGGCGGGACCGCCGTGTAGCCGCCCTCGACCTTGCGGAGACGGACACGGAGGCAGCGAGGTAAAAAGTTGCCAGGTGCGACATGGCGGCGGGCCAGCTGTTCCGGCGATGCGCCGACCGGGGCTCGACGCGGCGCCGTGTACTCTTCGCTGTCTACGTACGTATCGTCCTTGCCATCGTCGTCGTCGTCGTCGTCGCCATCCACGTCGTCGTCGTCACCGTCGTCGGGGTCGTATGTGGCCGGCGGGCGGCGGCGCGGCGTACCCCCATCGGACCCGCGGCCCTTGGGCGTTGATGCTGCATCGCTCGTCTCGAGGGCCTTTGGAGGCGCAACGCGGCGGCGCTTGCAGCGGCACATGTCGCTAATGAGCCGTTCGACCGGCGGCGGGGCGGCGTCCGTCGTCGCATTTTGGGCAGCGGGGACGGCCGAGGTATCGAGCGCCACGACTAGGTAGAGGGGCCCATGAGCGCGTTGGTTTGACCTACACGTCCGCAGAGTCGGTCGTACCTCGGCTCTTCCCGCAGGTCTCGCATGGCTCGTACTGCATCTGGACGTGGCCACGGCCGAGCTTGAGCATGGTAGCGTCGGTCGTATGGGCAGGTCAAAGTCGTTTCTCGGCGAGTAAGCCTACGCGGTCGTGGTCGTCGTAGGCGCGGTCTGGGTAGCGAGCTTCAGGCCCGCGGACTCGGCGCTCGTGGACGGGATCTGCCGGCGGAAGGCCTAGTGTTACAGTGTACACCCATACAGTGTACAAAGTGACACCGGTCGAAGGAGTGGGACGGCCCAATATTATTTTACAGGCGACCCGGCGCCCCCCGCATTTTAATAGCGTATTGCAATCTCGATTGCAATTGTTGTATCGGATTCGGCAGACATTGCATTGTATTACATTGGGTCATCCTGTTTTTAACACAAGGTGGGGGTCCCTACCCCGACCCCTAATGGGCCCGGGCGCTCGAATTCAATACAATACCACATGGAGCGTGAAATACAATGATTTTTTCACCACAATCTTCATACAAAACATAGGTATTGAAGGCTTTTGATGCTTTAAAAATGCATTCATTTTATACACATCGCGCACGTCCCAAGCGCCCGCTTCTTTGCTAACCCCCAGCGACTAGCCATCGCTCGACTAACTAAACGACGATATCAAAACCAGTAGCATAAGCATTCTTCTGCTCCCACTACTCCCTTTCGGATCACATCAAAGCATTGGCTGTCACAACATGACGTTGCACGTGTAGATGGTCGGTTCATGGACTTCCAGAAATTTGGTAGAGGTCCTTGGCGGACGAGGCCATGGCTTCATCACCGCCGCCAGCGACCGAACGCAGCCGCCAGCCCAGTACCGTGCAAGCTATGGCTATGAATGCGAGTCTAATTGCTAGACTCATCTAACTGTAAACTGGGTGGACACGTCCGCAGCCACTCGTTTCTGATCGAACGGTTGATAAGGACGTGGCGCTGTAGTTGGCATTTCGTTATCTGCAGTGGCGGCGGTAGTGTTGCTTGAAGCCTGGCATTATCACGAACAACGGCAATATGAGCAGCGCAACGCAGACCACGCTTCGCACTTTCGCACGCTGGCGGTCGCGAGGTTGACGTTGCAAGAAGCGGCCACTGGCTCCATTCCAGTGGAAGAAGCCATCTTCCTGGTTGTACCCGCTTCGAATCTCGATCCAAACCCGTCGATGAAATGGAGGCTCGAGCTGGGTCAATGGAATTCCCTGGCGCTCCATGTGTACGAGTCAATGCTGCCAACCGACTCGGTCGCTCCAAGCTAATCCCTGTACGAGTTCCCGTAGTACTACATCCGCAAAGATAGGATAGGTGTAGCTGAGGTGTAGGCATGCAAGGAAGGGTCCATAAACTGCGTATCGACCCTTGGCACATGTGAGTTGCACGGACGCAGGACACTTGGTCGCATTGCGCTCTAAACGTTCGGTGCTGAGGTGCATACCGCTGGTCCATTGTCATCTCCAAGGCTACCACGAGCCATTGGCGACTATTAGCGGCGACCGAGCTGCCATATCGTCGTCCATATCGATAGCGTGAACGATCATTCTGCAGCGCACGCCTCTCCCCATGGCGCCTGTACCCAGCATGCCACGTCGCAGTACGTATCCTGGGGTCAGCAGTGGAAGGTCCACTCTGCGCCCCTTCCGCATCTCGACAGCGTTGCGATCTTTGCAGAATGTTGGCCGCCGATATCTTTCATGGCGACCGTCCATCATGCATGCGATCATCGCGCCAAGCAGTCTCGTCCAGCGACCTCCATATTGGCGTCTACCTCGGCGGAGGCAGCCTCGTCGACCTGCCTCCTGGCGATGGCCATCACGCGGCAGCGACGTGATCCAACGCTGTGATTGGTCGGCGTGTCCCATTTTATTATATATCGTGGGGTTTGTATGGAACGGCCGGCCTCGAAATAGATTTCGGAATAAAAATACGCCGTGGGATGGGATTTCCACTCTTTGGCCGGGACAAAGACCATGAGCAGCGCGACCGACGGCGCTCCGCGGGGCGGCCAATGCGTCGAGGTCGCGGTCCGCGTCCGGCCGTTCCTGCCCAAGGAGCTCCTGCGCAGTCCCGACGGCGTCGGCGCCATCCGCATGGACCATGACCGCCGGGCGATCGAGATCGCAACGCCCAACTCGTCGGCCCAATTCTACTTTGACCATGTCCTCGGGCCCGACTGCTCGCAGGCGCAGATGTACGAGGAGACGCTGCAGGTACGACGCATGTGTATCGGCGGCGACTGAGCCATCTATCGTCGTTTGTAGCCCAAGATCGACCACTTTCTCAATGGTACGGCGATCATGGCCTGTACGGGCAACGAGCAATGATCATCGGGCAATGTAGGCTTCAACATCACCGTCTTGGGCTACGGGCAGACGGCCAGCGGCAAGTCCCACACGATCGGTAGCGGTCTGAGCAACCAAGACGAAGACGAGTGGGGCCTGCTCCCGCGCATGCTTCACGACGTCTTTGCACGCATCGCGATCGAGGACGAAGCCAACGTGTCTGTCTCGTTCCTCGAGATCTACGGCGAAGACATCCATGATCTGCTTCTGCCGCTCACGAGCTCAAAAAAGGCCGTGAAGCACGCGTTGCACCTGCGTCAAGATCGCTCCGGCGTCTTTGTGCAAGGCGCGCGTGAGGTATTACCCCATTCTCTTCCACGCCATCGAGTCGACCACCGCGACGCAGGTGCCTGTCACGACGCCCGAAGATGCGCTCGAGCAGCTTCGTATTGGCTGCTTGACGCGCATCACCGGCAGCACCGAGATGAACGACGTCTCAAGTCGGTCCCACGCCGTGTTTACCTTGACGCTGGTGCAGAAAACCAAGCGATCCGAGGACAAGTCGTTTCTTGACACGATGACGACCATCTCCAAAGTGACATTTGTCGACTTGGCCGGCAGCGAACGGTCTCCTTCCATCCTCTCTGCTCGCTACTCAACGTATGTTCGCGTAGACTCAAAAAGACCATGGCCGACGGACAGCGCATGAAGGAAGGCATCCAGATCAACGGTACATTGACCTCGCGATCGCGTCGTTCAAGTAGTGTCTCCAGTGGGCCTCCTCGCGCTCGGCAACGTCATCAACGCGCTCGGCGACGAGAAGAATCAAAAGCGCACCGACACGGCCGCGTTCGTGCCGTACCGCTCGTCTAAGCTCACGCGACTGCTGCAAGACGCGCTGGGCGGCAACAGTCGGACGCTCTTTGTGTACGTTATTCGCGTATTTTTATCCATGGCGCCGACGGGGCTTGTGCGTCACAGAGCCTGTGTGTCGCCCGCCACGTCCAACGCCGCCGAGAGCCTCAACACGCTGCAGTACGCCAATCGCGCCCGCAACATTCAAAACAAGGTCGGTGCGTCGATGGCACGAGCCGAATTTACTTTGTTTCGACATTGTAGGCGGTCAAGAACCTCGACCCGCGGTCGGCCGAACTCACGAGCTTGCATGCGTACATTGGCGTGCTCCAGCGGGAGCTCGTCAAGACGCTGTACGTGGACCCGAACGCGCCGGACCGCGCGGCCAAGATTGACATGCTTCTGCAAGACGCCAAGATTCAGCAGTTTTTAAAGCAGCTCCAGCTCCACGCGAGCGACGGCGTGTTTGCCCCGACCGCGCTGCTGACGCACGCGACGTCACGGGTATCGCCTGGCGACGAGCCGCACGAGGATACGAATAGCGACGACGACGACGACGACGACGGTGTTGACCCGACGTTGATTCCGGGGATTTTGAGCATCCTCGAGTGCTGCCTCGAGAAGGAGGCCGTGTTGACCGACTTTAAGCAAGCCAAGGTGGACATTCAGTGCCAAATGCAAGCGTGGCAGCTCAAGAAGCGGCGCGAGACGGCGCGCTGGGACACGTTGCGCCAGCAAGCCAAGCCGCTCGAAGCGCAAGTCAAATCAAACGCTGTCGAGACGTGGATGCAGCAGCTGAACGCGCTCCAGCAGGAAAAGCTGAGCAATGCCAACAGTGCCAAGGTCGACGAAGCGCTGCGAGAACTCAGCGCGCAGCTCCAAGCCCACAAGAAGGTCGCGACCGTGCTTGCGTACACCCAAGAACGGCACGTGTTGCGTTTGTTGCCATGCGACTGACTCGATAGTCGAGTAGTGCTCAAGACGCCCACGATCGCGTGCGCGAAGCCGACGCCGAGCTCGGAAAGCTCCAGGAGCGGCTGCACAAGCAAGAGCAGCACTGCAAGTACACGGTCAAGCTCAAGGACAATGACATTCAGCGGTACCGCGACTTTCCGCAAGCGTGTGCCAAGTGGAATCACTTGGGTGCGCTCGACTACTTTGCCGACCTCGAGGTATGATGTTGCTGCGATGGAACATATGGACCGTCTCGTAGCTGCACTTTGGCGCCGACACGGTGAAAAAGATGGTCCGGCAACTGAGCATCAGCGAGCAGTTGGCACTCAACTGGCTCGAGCGTCACCCGCCGCATTTGCCCGACGCGTCGCCGGCCATCCAAGCACACATGGCCCACATCCTCGACACGATCCAAGTACGTCGAAAGTGACGGCACGATAATAATGCGTGACGCGGTACTAGACGCGGCTGACGTTTGAAGACACGGAGGCGACGCTCATGGAGTCGCTGCGGAAGCGCACGGCGCTCTTGACGCAAATGCTGAACCGAGGCTCGTCCAAGGAGGCCCAAGACGACATTCGCCTCGCGCTGACGCGCATTGAGAATGCGATCCAGCTCGCAACCGACACGCTGCAGCACTTGGAGTCGGCGACGGACCTCACGCAGCTCGTGCCGACGGACGAGGCGAGCGTCCGGGACCTCGTGACGCAGCTGATCCTGGCGCTCGAGCACAGCGAGCGCATGCAATACCACTTGGCCGACAAGCGACCGACCGAGGCGAGCCCGACGCGGCTGGGCGCCTCGATGGCCTCGTCGTCCATGGCGCTCGTCCGTGAAGAGTACGAGCAACAGCTGCATGCGATGAAGGTGGCCCACGAGCAAGAAAAACTGGCGTGGATCAGCGCGCAAAAGGAGCAAGAGTGCAGCGTGACGCAGACGCAGTGGGACGAGCTCCAGGACGAACTGCGCGACGCGCGCAAGCACATTGACGACCTCAGTAACCAAATCGACGACTTGCAGCGGCGAGAAGTAGCCTTCTCGGCCGTCCACGTACGTGTGATTATGCTTGTATATGGATGCAAACGATGTACTATGGTTGTAGAAATGCCAAGAACT